TTGCAGATATTGTTTTACATATTTTCTTTTTTTTTTAATAACTATTTTTTACAAATTTTTAAATATGAAATTCTATCGAAAACTCGCAATGAAAAACGTTGTATTAATTAAATCCTTAATTTTTTCTTTTAGAAATACTGTCATAATAAGCTTCTTAACATGCTTATTCCATTTATATAATATAATATATTTGTTTAGTTTCTTACATAATATATAATATATTTGTTTAGTTTCTACTTACTTTCATCAAAAAGCTGTGATCAAATCCATGTCCATATAATGTTTTCAAATACTAATAAATCAGAAAACAATCAGTAATATACAATATCAGTATAATATGTTGTTAATAATAAAGGTTTTAATTAGGGCGTAAAATATCACACAGATGATTATGTAAAAAAAATTGAGTAACTACTTCTAAATTAGAAAATGTGATCCACCACAGTAGTTTACACACATTTTTATTAAAATTTATTATATTCTGAGACTTATTTTACATTGACTAATTCTATTTCCTTTAACATCTTTCTCGGCGTTGTACGCAAATTATTAAGCAAGATAATTTTAATAGTTATTCTGGAAATTACTTCCACCTACGATCGTTAAGCGCCGTCTTAACAATTTTCATTTCTAAACTACTTAGGATCGCTTACACTACACAACCTTTTGCGGATAAGCTCAACATTATTCATTGCAGCTTTTCTATCATTAGATGTTTATGCAAATAATTTATTAGCTTTCCATGTGTATATTCACTTATGCATTCGCCAATTTCCGAATAATTGTATTAGCACGTATCTACCTGTAAAGCGAAATTATTTTGGCGAAACGCAATGTAACACGGATGTACTTCTAACCCTGGATTAATATGGTAGAAGAGGCACGTACCGCATAATACAAGAGAGCGTAAATTAGAACAACCATCGAGCTGCCAGTGAGTTTCGTCATGTGGCACGGCACGATATTAATTAAAGCATAACGTTAAACAACCGGCGTAAACAGCAGAATGTTATGTTCGGCACGAAATCGGGGTAATTCGCGATTGATTTGATTACTTCGATCGCCATTAATTATTTTAGTAGGGCAATACAATTATTATGTTGATAATACTCCTTTGAAAAGAATTAATGAGCAATAACTAACAATTGCAAGAAGAATTAAACAGTCGAGAGTTATTAGGCAGTATGATTAAAAACGTTATTGGGATAACATATATGTACATATAACTGTTCTCCATATTTAATAGACAAATCTGACAGATCTTATTTGAAATTAAGCACGTCTAAATATGCCATAATTTAATATATAAAAAGAACATCAGAATATAATTATTATTGTTACTATATTGAGAAAACCAATTTTTAATAAATATTTGTTTGAATAGTACTAAATATTTACTGAATGTAAACATATACATATTTATTTGATACAAGAACTGTTAATTTCATTCAAGTATAATTTTTTTATTAAGTAAATATTTATTTAATGTAAGTGAATGTTTAATTAGTACTATTGAAAAAATATTTATTAAAATTTAATACATTTTTTCAGTGTACGCAAAAATATCCTTTGCTAAAACGTCTTCAATAATTGACTTAATGGAAAATAATTCAGATAAAGTCTGTGAAATTATTAAATTTAAATTTTGTGATGAAGCTGAAAAGCAGTTTAGTTTTACTTAACTTCATTAAAGCCTTTTGTTGAATTATTTGACGATTCTACTGTGTATGGGACTGATGTTTTACTGCAGAAGTAAACGAGATTCTCGCGGAAGACCATCTACCATACATGTATTATTTCACGGCGAAGCCGGATTAAATAAAATATTATCCAGGGAAAAATTAAACGCGTGTCCGCTGATGTTGAAGCACGACGGGAGATAAGCAGCAATCCGTGGGGTAAAAAAGTAGGAGTTACATATCCGCAGCACACAATACTGTTGCGAATCTGTCAGATAATCCCGATGGAAAAAAAAGTCACGCCGCACATTTCCATTCAAAGTCGGATTATTCTGAAAACCTAGTACATGGAAACACACATGGCAATTAAAAGCCTCGTCGACTTCTCCATGTAACAAAATTGATAAAAGCAAAATAATGATAATGGTAAAAAGTATAGTAAGTAACTGGCGACTTTCACATACTCGGTTACTTTATTTAATTTAATGCACGAATTATATACAATCGAACTTTTAAACAATAAATTTGTCGATTTGGAGTTGAAAAAATAAAGCTAAATGTCATTTTAAAATGTAAATTTTTTAATTTGTTTTAGAAAAATATACTTTTTTTATATTTATAAAAAATTTATTTTTTATCTTATTTATTTTAAATTATGATATTGTTTTTTAATGTGACTGATAGCTCGATTTGCAGAAAATAGTCATAAAAGCAGCTTGTGCGATTTTTTAAATCCGAGTTACATACGAATTTATTTAATTCTTTTTAATTCTGTGTGATGCATCTGCTATTTTAGATATCTAAATTCAATAATGATACTTGACTGTAAAATGGACACAACCCATAAATAAATGAAGACGCGAAACATGCTAGATGAGCCTGTTCGGGTTTTTAGGCTAATTAAATGAAACTGCGCGAAGCAGTAATGATCCAAGCATGGCCTGACAAAAGCCCAGTACGATAATTCATTTTACGTATTGGCTGGTGCTAATTGTAAACCCGAGTTTCTCACACGTGGCGCGAGTTAATTATTGAATGCATGGATATACCACAACGTTGTTTCGCGGTTAGATATCTTTACTATTTTGTAGGTATATCAAGTATTACGTTAAATACGTATCTTGACAAAAATGGAAGTAATAAATGTCAAAAAAGCAAATTTATCATTTAATGCATATTAGTATCGGATCATCGCAATTATAAAAAAACCTAAGTAAAAAACTCTTCATAAAAAAGAAGCAAAAATTTTGTAGTACCTTTGCGTCACAAAATTGCCCTTAAAAGTATAGATTATGTTATGATAGCGAAGTATAATAAAAACTTCATTTTACGATGTAGATTTTTAATGCATCGAAGACATATCTCAAATTAGACGACTCGTGTCGTTTTTCCGAGCACCAAAGATATCATGGTCGAATTCGTCGAAAGTTTCATTCCACGCTGGAAGCTACACCGGCTCGTCACAGCAAAGTTATTCGCGCAAGATTCCAGCTTCTACGCGGAATTTAATCTCATTGAAAACCCTCGCTCGGCACGAAACGAGCGAATGAAACGCCGGCGTTGAGAAATCTGGTCGGGCCACGTGGCGCACCAGAAAGATATCACCAAAAATCGCTTCCAGCTTCGCGGACTCCTACGCCGGAAATTAAAGATTCAACGAGCCGAAGGTAATTTTGGGGACGAGGAACAAGGACTGCGCGTAGCGGATGGGTAGCGGGAGAGGATTGAAAATGGAAATCGATGCTGGATTCTGTCTGGAAAGAGGTACACGATAAAGGGAGAGGGGTTACATTCGACGTCGTTAAGTCGTATTCGAGAGAAAACTTGAATTCTGGTAGGACAACTATTGATAGTAAAACGAAAAATCCGCTTGCTTTCGGGAAGATTATACTTTGAGGAAGAATTTATTCCGGTCGTTATAAACGATCTATCGTCGCTTCACGAATTCTTTGATCAAAATAAATGCGTTTTCTTAAATGAAAATTTCATAAGTTCTAATCGATTCATTTTTTTCACGATGTTATAACGTTTTAATATTAGTGTACACTAATATAATATTTAGTTAATCATAAATATAATAAGGCTATTGGAAAAGATAATTTCTACTTATAATCTTTTCTTTGGCTTAATAGTACATAATTTTTTTGTTTATTGCTTTTGAAATAAAGTTATATAAAACAAGATTAAAAATAATTAAAAACTCGAAAATAAAAGAAAAGATACAAGCTCGTTATGCAAAACAATGAACAAAATGTAAGATCATTGGCCAAATGAACGAGCAAAGTTCAAAATGTTTGACAAGATGGCTTATTCATAAAAATTCAAAACGAGTAATAATCGCAAACAAATATAGTAATTGCTAGATGTTTATATCCACGGAGTTTTCTTCACTTAAATAAATAAAAAGTTAAAACATTAAAAATATATCAAAATGTAATTAAATAATAATAGGACGAACGTAATTAAACCTAATAGGGATCGACTATGATAACAATTGTTATGCAATAAAATTTAACAAAAAGTCATCTAAAGGATCATATTTAAAGCTAAACGCACATATATCGAGAATTAGAAAATACAAAAATATATAAAAGTATCAACGAACACATCTTTGTACGTCATTGTGTTAAGAAATAAAGATGAAAAATTGTTTTGCAAATTTTAAATAATAAATTCTTTGTTCTCAAGTGAGAATATGTTCAGTTAGTAAAGTAAAAGAACCGAAATAGTTGACAAAAAGAACTTTTTTTTAATAATAATCTAAGGTAAATAAGAGTCGAAATGCAGTTCGCACGTTACTCCAAATTAAACGTTTAATTAAAATTCATGGGTACAAATTGATACCATGAAAGGTGAACATTCTGCTCAGCTTCGAGCTATCCTCAGCGAATGAATATAGAGAAAAAGATTGAATGGGGTGCGAAATATCCTGTGATTATTATTTGTTTGTTTGCAATTATTATTCGTTTTGCATTTTTATGAATAAAAATCACTTTATTGTTAATAATTTTGCTCATATATTTGCCTATCGCGCGCAAGCTCACATTCTGTTTATTAAAAACTCAAAATAATATATCTGTAAATTCAAACAAGAATCAACTCAAAATGACGCTGGAACATTAAAAAATCAGACAAGAATGTTTTCTTATAGTATGATTATTATTTGATCAATTATAATAGATGTAAAAGATTTGATAATTAATCTAATATCACATTAAGTTCACGTTGAAATAAAAAAGCTGCCTTTGTGCAAAAATGTGAATTGTATGTGTGAATTGAACTGAATTTGAAAATGCGCTAATCAACATGTTCGATTTACAGGAGGAGTGCGCATCGATGATGCAAGATCTCAGCGACAAGATCAACAATAAGCATCACGAGGTACGCACGCATCCGCTACTCTCGATCTTCAAAATGGCCGAGGTTGAGGTGAAGATGCCGTACAGCAACGAAGCGGCGATTTCCAGGTCGTCGTCGGTGCTCCTTGTTGTTCTGTTTGCAATCAGCTTCTTTGGGTCAACTTGCTCCTTTGGTTCGTGACAGGGACATCAAGATATCACTAAGAATCTGTATCGAGTGTCCTCCTTGTGGAGGATCGCCACATGTCGCGTTCATGTGGTAGCGGCGGTTCCGACAATAGGCGGTTCCACCCTGATGAGAGAGAACTCGTGGCCTTGAAGGGCGCAGATCCACGAAGGGAAGAAACCCCGCCTAGCCCTCGATCGCCGTGCGGATCAACAGATCGCAGGGATCGATCGGCGGATCCGCACAGAGATCCCCACACATTCCCGCCGATCGCGGATCGCTCACCGCGCCATTGAAGATATTATTAAATATATATTGATATTTAATGGTATTTTTGTTACATACTACATCTCGACAGGGCGTCCTCGAACCTTAGTCTTAATTCTTTGACTATCATATAATTCCGGATCTTGGAAGCATGCAATGGTTACGTAATTAACATTAAATCAATACTGTATAATAAACAAAATTATTTTTCACAGACAAAATTCTAAAGAATGCGCTATTATTTTTGCACATTATTATATGTCTTCTATGTATACATATTTTTTTTTGTTTTAACATTTTATTTTATCATTTACTTTTTACAGAAATTACAAAAGTTATTAAGGCACCAATAAAAATTGTGACATGTGTTTAAACTGCATTAAAACTATCTATTTTGAGATTATTCAGATTTTATTTTTCAAACACACATACACATACATACATATTGGAGAAAATAGCGAATTTACATATTCTTTTACACACAAAATATTCATTGCATGTTCAACAATTTGAAAGCATTTACTGTAGATGCTAATGTATGCCACGAACGCGACAAGTATACCTGACTGAAGATCCTGCGTTATACTATAATAATACTGTAACAACACCTACAAAATAGTGCTATTGCGCTACGCGGTACTTGAAGGATTAATGACAGATGATCGATGATGCCCTGGACGATCGACGCCGCTTTGAGGTCGGTTTGATGAGTTTTGGAAACGAGATTGACACGGAATACATTTGTCAAATGCGCGAAATCAAGTAGAAATCATCGGACAATTGTGTTTTCATTTTTCACGATAATTCCGCCGTCAAAAGTGTTTTGCGATGAGACTATTGCGCGATCGACATGCAACCGACGTAACTTGGACATGAGTTGCATTGCGAGTTAATCATTAACAATTGTACGCGGTACTAATGATGTTTGATTACAAGATGATTTACGGGCGAGTGATTGATAGAGAATAATATTAATGACATGTAAAACCTGAGAAATGTTAAATAATGAGAAAAATCAAGATTTTTGCGTTCTGTAATGAGATTAAATATATACATATATAAATTATATATATATTCTATATATAATGTATATATACAGGGTGTTTCCAAATTAAATGGCAAAACTTCGGGAGCGTGTAGAGGAGTAAAAAACTAAGAAAAAAAGTCCTATAGACATATGCAATCAGCATATTCACTATTAGAATACGTACGCGGCATATTGCAAAAGACAAAATTCATCTACTGTTAAAGGCTTTCAAAGAGCGACTGACAAATTCATAACAGAAAGTGGAAAATGTAATCAAATATGTCGGTGCTAGATATGGCAAGAAATGTAAACATTTTTTTTCGATTTCTCTGAAACGGAGCAAAAACGAGCATATGTCTATAGGACTTTTTTTCTTAGTTTTTTACTCCTCTACACGCTCCCGAAGTTTTGCGATTTAATTTGGAAACACCCTGTACATATAAAATAAATTTTCAATGTCCAATCTTGATTGGCAGACAAGATTGCAATCATTACTTAGAAAAACGGATGATTAACGCAAAGTCCACGAATAGATAGAAACATTTTGTTGCAAATTGTTGAATAAAATTATTACATATGTATATACACTCGAAGTATTTTATTTTTAAACGTTGAAACTCTTCACACAATTATATTATCGTTAATATTATATTACAATGTTAATCCGGATGGAAAATAAATTAATAATTCGAATTAATTTGCGCTTTTGATGCGACAGAGGGGCAATCTTGACAAATTAATCAAAGAAAAATAAAAGTAAAGACATTATATAAAAGCCCTTTTCGCACTTTTTCGAAGTTGGCCTCAAGAGACATCCCGTAAAATTAAAATAAAAACATAAAATCGATCATAACAGATCATGATAGAAGGGCAGAATGCGGTGGGCGCGATTCGCGATCGTTCGAGACGAGAGTATAACACGTGTATAATAAATCGATCGTAACGCGAGAGGCAGTCTGTATAAATGGCTAAGCACTAATCTACTGTATAATTAATGGCCAAGCAACGCAAACTTCCTCCCATACTGGACCATTAGGTGTTTGTTAAAGTTGAAATCTAAACCTGAAGCACATGCGTCTATACGATGTGTCGCGAGAGACTCGAGTGTATAGATAAATGTAGATTGTTAATAGCGATGTAAACAGAAGAAAAGGTGTGTAATAGAGGTAGCCTGAAAATGCGGTCGAGCGAAAAAGTCGATCGTGGTTCGCTCGTTTTCAAGTTTCAAATCGCACCGATGTATACGAAGTATCCCGAGTCGATCTCGACAAATGGTCCCCGAATTCTTTTCTTTCTCTTTGTCATTTTCCTCATTTTCAAATCGCACACATTCAAGTTGTAAATATTCAATTATCTTAGAAGTGTACGGGGTGCCTTAGAAAATCTAAGTCCTAAAGAGGCAAGACGTCCAATCAAATTTTTGCTAAATAAAAAAATGGCCTCAAAACTTGCTAGATAATATCGCCTTAATATCACACATATAGATTTAGAGAAGCCAATATAAATCCGACAATCGAATTTTCAACTCATTATGCAGGAAGTATATCATTAATCAAACATAGAGACATGAGATAATTCTTTTAGACATGAGATAACCTTTTTTATTTATATTTACAAAAAAGAAGCAATATGTCTTCTCGTTAGACATTAATTGCTGACAGTGTAAATGTACTTTTGCTCTCCTCGATCGTTTCTTTTATATATTTGTGTCCTCGATTATTTTATTAGCCGATGGCGCCGATAAAGGTGGCGCATATCAATGCGAAACGGCGCGGCACCTCGCATCGCGTCTCCGTAATTATGGCGCGCAATGTCAATAGTTCGTGACTGTGGGAGGCACCCTGTATAAACGGTCGATTTGTCAACTCGGACGACGAGAGGGGGATACGAAGCGGAAAACTTGTAAACGGCGACCGAGCGCTTGACATTTACAAATTATTCAGAAATTCACGAGCTGGAATTATTCAGCAGCCGGAGAAGTCCTCCCGCTGGCTCGATCATAATCTCGATACCGGCGATTAATAACCCTCGGGATTCCTATAATTATCCCTTGCTGCTACAGACTCGTCACTACTACACCATCTCTTTTAAAGATGATTAGTTTAGTGTTTCAAGGATCAAAGACAATCTTATTTTTCCAGCATCGAATCTCGATAACGTTCCATCAATAATTTGTTTCAAACGGAAGTGTCTTAATTACATTTTATCTAATAAAATTCCAAATGCATTTAATTGTCATGGACGACAAATGTAGAATAGCTGAATACAAAATTTGATGCAAAAATGTCAATCATAATTTAATTCTTTCCTTCTTCATTACTTTTCAATACAATATCATCATAGTTACGTCTATGTATATATATATATATATAGCTTGAAATTTAAATACTTACACTAATCACACTTCCATGAGAAATCTTTTATTATTTATTTTTTATTTATAACGATACGCTCAACTTGTCGCAAAAATGAGACAAAAAAGTAAAAGCATATTATCAATTAAACCTTTAATTATTTTTTAAATTATACTTTTAAATTATATTTATAAATATTTATAACTTTTTATTACTTTAAACTCTGAATAATTCATTTTTTAGTTGCCCGTTTGTTTCCATTTATCGAAAATAATTAAAAAAGTAACAATCAATATAAACGGGAAGGCTAATCCCTGAAAAATAGATACAGGTTAGACAAACAGCCATTAATAAATACGTAAAAATAACGGTTACTTCGAAAACTTTTTTATCCCTTTGATTCTTGCTAGCCGAATAAAGTGACGAGATCCGTTAGACAGAATCTTGAGGATTATAATTGCGCTAAAGCTTCAGGCGAATCCGGGAGCCGTCGGAGTTAACTAACGAAAACTTGCTAGATAATGTAGCGGCAGGAACAATACGGCAAATAAATAGAGCCCTTCTATGCATACGATATACTCTATAAATATACGTTATGTAAGCATATATATATATATATAAATATAAGTAATACAAGATAAATGCAGACAGCCAGCTCGTTCTGGCTGCATATTGTTTGTACATGGACAAGTGCGAATTAGACGACAAGTTGTAATACGGTAATTCAATTAGGTGACATTCGATCTAAGCGCGAGTGTAACTATCGCCTTGTGTGCGTGTGAATTCTGCGTGCAAAATACAAGAGTGCGTTTATGCGTGCCAATCGTTCCCCGCGCTCTTCCCTGAATTATATTACATTAAATAATAATATAAATTATACTATTACTGTGCAGATTGTAAAGCGATTATAAACGCGCAAATGCCGGTGTGAATACCATTTCGTTCTTTCGTATTCCTCTTTAGCAGTAATTACTTTGCGTTATAATTTAATTCACGCTATTATATACATCGTAATTTTATTATTCCCGATCTCATTGCACAAAAAAATTAGAATCAAGTACAATTATAATCAAGTACTTTTTAAAATTAATTTTACTTAATTGTTGACCAAACTGTGCCTAATTATCTATATTTATCTTTGCAATAGCAGTATTTTAAACTTTTATCTAAAAATTATGTTATCTTTTAATAACCATACCTTTATGCTAATCATAAACTTTATTTTCCGCTTAAAACACATAGCACAGATAAAAACTGATATCCAATATACATATAACAAAATTATGGTACAAGAAGAAATGAGAATGGAATCAGATTTATTGTGGTTTAATGCAACACTAACATGTCCTTTCTCGACACGTTGGTTA